CAATAGGCGAGCTTCCTTGCCTCACGCAGGCGAGCTCGATCCATCCACAGGCGACGTCGTCAAGCTCCGATCTCAGGTGTGTTTTTTCTTCAATTCTCCACCTCGTCCATCATTTGATAAACCTCAAATTATGGACGAATACTAGAAGAACACCACGAATGCCAACCAGGCCAAAACAACAGCTGCACCAATATATCACGGCTGCCTACGTACACTCTAACCAGGATCAAGCTAATCGTAGTTCTGTCAATGGCCTCCAAAGGCCCTCAACAACGAAGAATGCTCAACAACTTAAAACAATGACCAAATTTCACCCCAGTGATAATTTTGGTCAACATATCTGCTAGATTATCCTTTGGGTGGATCTTCTCCAATCTAACATCTCCATCATCCAAGACGTCTTAAACAAAATAGAATCTGACATCAACATGCTTTGTCCCGGCATGATACACCTGGTTCTTTGCCAAATAGATAGTTGATATGCTATCACAATTTACCTTGATGGTCTCCTGTACAATCCCCAAGTCATCCAATAACCCCTGCAACCACAAAGCCTCATTCATAGCTTCAGTCAATGCCATATACTTTGCCTTTGTAGTGGAGAGAGTCACCGTAGACTGAAGCGCACATCTCCAACAAACCGGTGCTGCTGCTAATGTAAACACATATCCAGTAGTAGACCGATGCTTTTCAAGATCTCTCGCATAACAAGAATCCACATAACCAATACAATCTTCCCATTCTTCTCAAACACCAAACCAACATCTACGGTTCCTTTGATATACCGTAGAATCTACTTTAAAGCCTTCCAATGATTCTTCCTAGGGTCGTGCATGTACCTAGACACTATGCTCACGGCCTATGATAAATCTGGCATTGTACACATCATTGCATACATCAAGCTACCCACAGTATTGGCATATGGAACTTTGGATGTGTATTCACAGTTCTTAACTAAAACAGGTGATATCTTAGCTGATAGCTTAAAGTGGAAAGCTAATGGAGTACTCACCGCTTTAGCATTGCCATCAAAACTGAAATTCTTCAACATCTTTTGCAAGTAGTACATCTGTGCCAACTTCAACCTCCCTTTCACCCCGTCTCTCTCAATTTTCATACCCAATATCTTCTTTACTTCTCTAATGTCCTTCATCTCAAATTCGGATGAAAATTCCTTTTTTAACTTTCTAATGGCTGAAGAGTTCCTAGAAGCAATGAGCATATCTTCAATATATAATAACAAATAAATATGCTCACCATTCTGTAGCTTATGCATGTACACACACGAATCATATGGGCTCATCGTGTATCCTTGGCCGGTCATGAAACTATCAAATCTCTTGTACCATTGTCGTAGTGATTGCTTCAATCCATAAAGATATTTATTCAATTTATATACCAAATCATCATTGTTTGCAGCTCTAAAACCCATCGTTTGTGACATATAGATCTCCTCTTCTAAATCTTCATGTAGAAATGCTGTTTTCACATCCATTTAGACCAAATTCAAATCCAGCTGTGCCACCAATGCTAATAGTATTCTTATAGATGAATGTTTCACGACCGGTGAGAATACCTCGTTATAATATATGCCCTCAAGCTGGGCATACCCTTTGACAACCAATCTGGCTTTGTACCGAATGTATCCATCAGAAGATCATTTTTTCTTTGCATATACCCACTTGCATCCAATTGCCTTTTTGCTCTTTGGTAGTTTTGCAAGTTCCCAAGTGTCGTTCTTATGAAGAGATTGCATCTCCTCCTCCATAGCTTCCCTCCATCTGATTGAGTCAGAGCTTGACTCTGCTTTCTTATATGTAGAAGGAACAAATCATCAACGACCTTAGCTAATAAAGCATATGCAACCATCACGTCATCATATCTAGCTGGCCGACGAATATTTCTTGGTCTATTAGCTGCAATGAACTCCTGAGCATGACCTTGCTCCTGAGTCCCAACATCCACTGTATCCTGCATCTGCCCATCTGTCAAATCATCTCCTCCCAATGTCACCTTTGTAGGAGCCTTAATGGATACACTGCTATCTGAAGTCTGTAGAGTCACATCATCCTCCACTTGCTGCGATATCCCACTAATCTGACATTCCTCCACCTGTTGAGGGATCTGAGGCCTCATCATGTGAGCTTCATCAAAAGTAACGTCTCTGCTAATGATTATCTTCTTGTCTTCTGGATCCCACAACTTGAAGCCTTTAACTCCTTCTCTAAAGCCCACGAAGACTGCTTTTCTAACTCTCGGATTCAATTTCCCATCATTTACATGATAGTAAGCTAGACACCTAAATATCCGAAATAACTCATAATCACTAGCAACTCATGTGAGTCCTGATCCTCTTGCCAAGCACGTCCTATATTTCCATTACTTTATAATTGTGTGCTGATGTGCTCTCCACCAAATCCAAATCACAATTACACGTGCGCAGATATCAAGTTCATTAGTTAAGCACAAGTAGGTAACTCTTCTTCGTGATTCACACAGAGAAGGTGATTGATATGAACTTAATCCGACCGACGAACGAATCCTAACATAATTTAAATCTAAGCTGTCGATGACATGAAGATTTAATTAAGATTAGAAGACAAAGGGGAGCAAAGGCCCATTGTTGCTTGTACAAGCCCAATTGGTCCGACAACTTTGATTTAGCTGACTATACTTAGAAATGTCAAAATTTTGCAACAACGACGAAGATTAAAGCATGTTGGCTAATCAATTTTTTTCGATTCAAACAAGTAAATGCTAACTGGATTAGTATCTAATTATCGCTTGATCCGACGACTCCTTTGCCTTTTTTTTCCGATTAAGTTAGTCTACTTTTATTTTCGAGAGAGAAGATTATGTCAAGGGAGGCGATTAAACAGATTACCCTCTTCATTAATAGCATTTATCACCTTTGAACTCGTTCATATTATTTGTGTTTCCTCGTATCATGAGGAGGAGGATGATTACCTCAATTTGTTCTTTTTAAAATGTCAATTCTAGAAATAATAAATGCTTATAAATGAGTTAGGTGGTGATAAATGCTGCTGAAGATATAGAAGCGGAAGGTTACCTCAGGTTTATTCTCATCATAATATATAATTCGGTTTTTCTATAGAGTGGCCAAGAGCACTCTATAAGAGAGGAGAAAGATAGAGAGAAATGAATAGCTTATAGCCCCCCTGATTTGCATTAACTTTTGTGCATAATTCATTTCTCTCTATCTTTCTCCTCTCTTATAGACCGTATATAATTATACTCAGTTTTATGTTTTACCTTTGTATTCAGGTCCATGTATTAATATTTTTATCTTTTCTCTAGCTCTTAAATCCCCACATATATATTTAATTATTCATTTCTAAAAAAACAGTTCACTTTTCTCTTAAAGCTATTTGTGCGAAGTATTTGAAGTGCGCATCCTATTAGAATAGCCCGCATCTTAGCGGGCGATTCTAAGCCTTTCGATATGAAAAAAAGAGGCATTTCGGTTATTTTACCCTTTGTTTATAGCTCAATGAGCCTTCGTCATGTGGGCAATTTTGATATGAAGTGTAATCGTGTATATGTGTATTCATTTTTCATACCCTTAGATACCCTATAGTTTCAGCAACCTTGTACTTAAGGGACTCTCATTTTAAAACTAAGCAAATAAATGCCCTAGAGTTTTTAAAAGTTGCACTTTAATACCCTAAAGTTCCCAATGCAATGCAAACATAAGAATTTCTCCCCGAAAAGTCTCATGCGACACTCCCATGCTATCTTTGGAACATTTAGCTTTTATTTTTTGTTAAATCTATTGTAAACCTATCAAATCCTATTTTAAGATAGAATTAAGGTATGTTTAAAATTAGATTTTGATAGGTTTGGCAATAGTTCAACAAAAAAATAAGGGTTAAAATGTTCTAAAAATAAAAACTGTCACATGAGAATTTTCGGAGGGAAATTCTCACATTTGCATTGCATTGGAAACTTCAGGTATGAAAGTGCGACTTTAAAAACTTTATGACATTTATTTTTTCAGTTTTAAATAGGAGGTGATCGAAGTGCAATGTTGCTAAAACTAAATTAGCATGTATGTATATCCATTCTTCATCTTATATATAACAATAACTATTTATTTAGATGCATCAACTTCTCTGAAAAATAGGAAGTTATGATTTGGCAAACCTCTTGGAATTCTAAAATGTCAAGACATAGACTTGCCAAATAACTGGTAGGCGCCTTACTTTGGTCAAACTCTAGGGTCACAACCATTAAAATGATCCTAATGTTTGAAAGATGAAACTTAATTACCAGTTCTCCTTTGAACAAAACACACGTGCAAAAAAAATCATGATAATGATTTTGGGACCTAGTAGTTGGATTGATCCGGATACTTGGTCCGTGACTTCTGAAAAGTAGAAGAACAGCTGGCTGGCCATATGCAGATAGTTAAGAGTTTGAGTGAGAATGTCCAAAGCTTTTCAAGTTTGAAGCCGCCAAGTAATGGGATAAGTCGCCGTTTGAAATAATAATAAAATAAAATAAAATAAACAGCACACTAAATTTTCGTTCATAACAAGAGTCATGTTGTTTTAGTATTTTCTTCGCCTGATATTAGTCTAATCGTTAACGGGGTGTTTGGCAACCAACAAAAATTGAATCAAGTTTAATCTTGATCTTGTTTTGTAATCAAATGTGTTTGGGAAAAACTAGGCTAACTCGTAGGCCTAAATAGGCCCCTTAAACTGATTTTTTTAATCCACCCCCTCATGGATAAAAAAAAAAGCCAGTTTTTCTGAAAACTAGGTCAAGCTTAGCCGTAGCCCAATTTTGAGAACATTGCCAAAATGACCCTAATATTCTAAAATTAGCCCCTCAAAGCATTGAAAATGCTATTATGTCTCCCTAGTTCTTAGATTTGCTATTATTATCCATAATTGGATAGATTAATTTGATGTTGAAGTTAATCCTAATTCTAAAAGGATTTGAGTTAGTTAACTCTAGGAATTATATATAGTCATACCTGTTATGGTAATTTACCATCTAAAGATAAAGATGTCGAGAGATTGTTTGCATAGGCTTTAAAAAGGGCATGGTCCAAACCAGTTTAGTGGCCCAAAAGCCCAACCAAGGGCAGGTCTATAGGCCAGCCGAGCAGACGAGTCATCTTTCGACCACGGGTCATCATTACCGACTCGAAGTGCGTGATTAGTCGGTCCCTCGTAATTAAGATGAATTCCTCGAGCAGACGTCTCAACCATACACTCGACCCAAAGCTCACTCGACTATCGGGTCGACAAATCATATTAATGACTCATAAGATCAACCCGCCTCGACTAAGGGGATAAGATCCGACTAAGCTCGCTTTAGATGTCAATCGGCACTACAACATTAATCAGTCCCATCGAGATCTCCGCTTTGACAAATCCCATGCATAAGCCATTTATTCTGCTCACAAGTCCCTTCCCCGATATCACCATGATGCTCTCCTAGGCTCGAATAGCTTCCCCTCCAATCACCAACCGCTATCTGGAGGGGGGAGGACGACCAAGTAACTGGACTATCCTCTGTCATGCCTCATCTGTCAAATCCAGGATACTGAGAAGACATTTCTCTCCTATACCCGAATGACTTCCTTTCTAATCGCCAGTCTACATCTGGAAGGAGAAGGATGACTCAGCAACCTATTTGTTCACCCCTCAACAGCCTCCTGTGCATAGTCAAAGTCAAAGGTCAAAATCTTAGAGGCTATAGGCTATAAAAGGAGGAAAAGAAGGTAACAAAGAGGGGGGATTCTTTTTCTACTACTTCTTCATAAAAGCTCTGAATTTATCTTTGCTAAGGACTAATAACTCTAAAAGAGTACCCGCTAAGAACCTCAATGGCCCAGGGACTCTCCCTCAAACCCCACTCAAGATCCCTAGCTGACTTGACCGTCGGAGGTACCACGGGGGAAACGAGCCCCGCCCTCCTACGGGTTTCTTCTTGTTTGTGCAGAAGGATCAGGAATTCCAGCCTAAGAATCAGGTATAAAGTCGGAGGAGGAGTAGGCCTCATCTCTCATCCGCTCCCTCTTTGCCGCCAGCGCGGAGACCAGAACCGCAACCACATCGACTGTGTGTTCACGGACATCAACAGTTTGGCGCCTACCGTGAGGCCCACTCTCCTCTCTGAAAAGAAATGCCCAATTCCAAATAGGGGTCTGGTCCTGTCCATTCTTAAAGAACACTGGAATTACACCATTCAAGCTAAATAAAGTCTAGAATTGTATCATTCAAGCTAAAGAGGATTAGCCTATTGTAAACGTCAAAAAATGCTAATAGATATCCAAATACAGCTCAAGAGGAGATCATCAAAAAATCAAAGAAAAAAAAGACAGTCTTTACTGTCTCTCCGCGCAAGACAGTGTTTACTGTCTCTCCGTGAGAGATAGTCTTTATTGTCTCTCCGCGTGAGACAGTGTTTACTGTCTCTCCGCGCGAGACAGTGTTTACTGTCTCTCCGCGCGAGACAGCATTTACTGTCTCTCCGTGAGAGACAGTCTGACAGTGTTTACTGTCTCTCCGTGAGATACAGTCTTTACTGTCTCTCCGTGAGAGACAGTGTTTACTATCTCTTCGCGCGAGACAGTGTTTACTGTCTCTCCGCGCGAGACAGTGTTTACTGTCTCTCCGTGAGATACAGTCTTTACTGTCTCTCCGTGAGAGACAGTGTTTACTATCTCTTCGCGCGAGACAGTGTTTACTGTCTCTCCGCGCGAGACAGCATTTACTGTCTCGCTGGGCGAGACAGCAAACACTGTCTCGGCCAGCGAGACAGCAAACGCTGTCTCGCCCGCCGAGACAGCAAACGCTGTCTCGCGAGCACTGTTCATACAGGGGTTATAAATACCCCCGAGGTGATTTCTTTGAGAGGGGCGGATCAGAGAGCATCCACAGGCTGATTTCAGAGCAGAGAGGGCAGAGTACTCAAGCTTCTGTAACTCCTTGATATTCAGGCTTTGACTTGATTTCAAGAAGAACGACTATCTTACATCGATAAGATATCGTTTCAATTTCTCACTTCGATAAACGAAGTCAGAATCATAAACCCCTCACGGTTCAATCAGAATCTGTGATTTGGTGGTCCACGAGTCAAAGCGCTCCCGGCACAGGCAAAGATCCCACGCAAGCAGCGATCCAAACAACGATCCTGCGTTTGTTTCTCAAGAGTTGTAATTTTTATTTTGTTGTGTAAAAGAGGTCTTATAAAAAGACTATTTCTTTGAATTTATTGTAATCGATCGAAGATATAATGAATTCCATGACAAAATCAACTTTT